TCCCTCCTGTCCCTAATACAGCACTGCAGGTATTTCTCAGGGAGACGTGGATGAAGACTTCTGGTGAACAACAGCTACTGATTTTTTTATTTTCTATTACTATTTTTTACAATAAAAATGTTTTTAAAGCAGCTTTCTGCCTGTAAAAAGTTGTAATCAATGTTAGGCACCGAGATTGCAGGCTGTATAGTTGTAAGTTAATAAAGCTGATTTTGAGCTGTTGTCTCTTCAAGTCAGTCATTGACTTCAAACAGTGAGCCCTGATGTGTCACTAATCCAGGAGGCCTTTGAGTGGGGTGAGAGAGGGAGAGGACACAGCAGTGTAAGGAAATTAATGGGTGTGCTCAGGTAGGTTGGCTTTGGCATTGAATTCCTATAGCCTTGGACAGCTCTGCAAGTGGAGCTCCCTCCTCTGCCGCTCCACGTGTTACAAACGGCAGGGCAAAGTAACCGTGTACAGGGACCAAAAAAAATTCAGTCACATTTTCAAAGGTGTCCCCTGGAGACCCTCGGCTGGCGCAGTTTCAGCGAGCAGAGTGTGACGGAGCCAAGGTAAGGTGTCCCTTCCACTGCTATGGCAGGGGAAGCCAACACTTTTAAAAGCAGTCTTATCTCACGTGGCACCTTGTTGGTATTAACCAGCCCAGAACGGAGAGATTCAAATAAAAGTGCTATTGAACTCATCTTTATTTAAGCTTTGTATTTTGTAGGTAGATTATAGGCAAGATCGTTAAACTTTATTTACAGTATAAAATACAGTAGTTTTTTATCAATGAAGTAATTTTGGGTGGCAGCATATATTACAACTTGCACTGCATTTGAGGCTGCTCATCTTGGCCTAACTACAAGAACATGAAGCCAAGTTTGACAGAATTTAAGGGCAAAAAAAACCAAAGCTCTGTCTTGAATCCACTGGATGTTGAAACGTGACGTACCAAAAAACACGACAGAAATCAACTTTGCGTTTAGAAATTAAGCTCAAAGATGATTTGGTGGCTAGTCTGATTTCACGTGCTGCTTAAGCTGGTGTTGCAGCAACGCTGGCCTTCACTAAATTTCGGAGAGGCTCCTCCTGTCTGATGTCGGGAAGGGGAGGGATAGTGCTCGTTGCATTATGCTGGCCTGGAACATCTACCACTACTTCATGCTAAAAGACCTGGCTGACTTACCATGCTGAAGCGAACACCTACAGGGCACCCTTTCCCCGTGCGGGAGCAATGGGTAACACTACTGCACACAACCTCAGGTAGGGACGTAGAGCACGGGGGTGCACTAAGACGGAGGGGCTGTAGGTCTGTTTCCAAATAATCGTACACAAGTGGTGTCTATTATCTACAAATATTTATTTTAACACTTGGATGTAACTACAGGAAGCCCTTGGCACTGATAGAAAATATTGATTCACTGTTAGGTTACAAAAATTTATACATAGCAAAATTTAATGCTCTTTACATAAAAATATTAGACTACTTAAACAAAACTTCAAAAACTCCCAGTAATAGCTACACTGAATTAGAAAAGAATTAGGCTTTAAGACACTGCCTCCATTATTACCCTTATGCAAACACTGGGCTAGAACATCACCTGCGTTGCTGTAGAAATGTCTCCTTCATGCAACAGGTAAGAACATACACTAGGCTATTTTGTCATACTTGCTCTACATGGATCAACTTTGCCCCTTTTTTTTTTGAAACTGTCAAATTAGACTTCAATATGTAACAAAAAAAATCCATATTTGAAGTTAATACCCCTCCCCAACACCTTTTCTCTTAATACTGACTTGAAGAAATTTGTGCTTCCTTTGAGTTATATTCAGCAAACAGTCAAAACTATCAAGCCCCACGTCAGCTTCACAGGGGTACGACTTGAATATTTCATTTTCTTCCAATTTTACTTCCCCCCCCCCCGCCCCCAACATTTATATATATATATATCATATAGAACAAACACCAAATATACCATCACTAATACTCAAGAAGATATCACTGAATGCTTCTGAAAAAAAACATTAATTAGAAGGCAGACTTCTATGGGAAATGACTTTAAAATGGCACCAGTTTGTTTGTGTTTTTATTTCTGAACACCACGTTTTTCTTCATGTGCTAATTAATATTTGTATAAAGGAAAACACATAAGCACTGACTATAAATTTGCTAAGCACCAAGATAGAGAAAGGTGGACATCCTGTATTCTGCTTTATGGCTGTAATTTTTATTGTGTAAAACTCTGCAAACTTTCTCATCCGCTCATTTGGAATAGTCAGATCAGTGTCATTTTAATAAGGTAACACTTTCCACTTACTGAACATGTAGGATAATGGTCTCCTGCCACTATATAAATGCTAAGACATTTATAGAAAATAAATATTAAGGCAAAGCTGACATTTATTTTCAAAGAAGGGGATCATTATCCAGATCCGGGGATCTACATTCCATTACGTAGTTAGTTAATAAAAAGATTAAAACTTGGGCCAGGCGCTCGACAGCGCTCACGCGAGCGCAGGAGCGCGACTGCTTCCTCATACAAAATTGTGGCACAAAAGCAGAGGGCTGTTCCCGTGCAGAGAGGGGTCAAAGCCAGCCCTGGTGCGGCTTAGGAACCGCTGGGCTCTCGGCCGAGAGCTGAAAGGGCACGGCCGACGCATGCCTTTGCCCCAGGGCTGCGCAGGGATCTGCTGCTGCTGGTCTGAGCACCTGCCACGGTGCCACGCCGCAGACCGCGCCAAAGAGTAAAAGACCACGAGCCTCAAAGAAGAGTAATTTGGTCACTTGTTGTGAAGTGTTGCCTTTTAAAATGCCTGGAATAAACCCTCCATTCTCTGTAGGAAAGGATGGAAGATTACCCACGGGAAGATCTCCCTACAAATGTGTCCCAGGAGCTGGAATGTGAAGCTTTTGCACGTCTCTCTAATTTTGTTTGGTAGACACACATCTGTACTGCAGAGCAGCTATCTGTTGATTTGTCAGAGCTACAGAACTCTTCTGCTGAATTACTGTGGCAAACACTTATGTGTAAGAATTGAGTTGCTCTTTTGACCGAGACTGGATATCCTGAAGCTCCTGCTCTTCTTTTGCTTTGATATCCTGGTAGGCCTGCATTTTGCTCGCATCCTTTAAGTAGGCCCAGTTAGAAGACAGTATCATGAGGAAGTGGATCTGGAAGAGAAGGGTGAGCATGATGGCTAGTGAGCATGTCAAGAGGCAAAGCAAGCTGCTAGTCAGATTAATAGACGCTCTTTAAAACAACGACCAAAATAAAAAGTTACTCTACGTTAATAAGCGTTCATGTTATTCAAACAACAAGCACAGAGGCTATTTCCAAAGATCTCTAGAATCTGGCATGCTGGTACTTGAGTCGGTTATTCACAATCCGGAGGAAGTTAGTATGACAGCAATAAAATGAGCTACAGAGTCGGACGGACCGATTAAAATGCAGAATGGGGGGATGCAGGAAAAGGTTTGTACGTGGCAACATCTGTCCTCTGTAAGCTAGGAGGTGCTCAGCAGGACTGCTCTCGGGTTGCGCTGGTTACACATATCCAAGCCCAGATCCTGGGGGTCCTTTTCCCCCAACCGGCAGATGAGAATTCCACCCTCCCCCTGGAAAAAGCCTGAAACTGTAAACGGTTTTATTCACGCGAACACGGCTACATTAACACATTGAAGAATTAAACAGCAGAACACCAGTCCAAAACTAAGCAAAAGCATGCAATCTCTGGGTTAAGAAGTCTTAATCGTATATTTGTATAACTACATTTCAAACTTCCATTGTCCAACCTCCGGTGAAGAGTTGCACATCACACATAGCAACTGGTTCTTTTTTTTAATGATTATTGTTGCGTGGATGTTTTTCTACTTTGCGCATTCATCTCTTCCCAACTTCTTTCCACCACACTTCATGCAAGAAAATCTACATCTGACAACACTGATTCGCTGCTTTTTTTTTTTTGTCTGTTTTCAATCCCAACAGTGTAGAAAGGTCTCTAGGATCTATGCATGGTTTTGCTTCCTGTGCAGTCATACTTACAGTTTTGAGATCTGGCTACTGAGAAATCAGTTACTAAAGTGCAAGCCGTACGAGAACAGAAGCTGTTTAAACGCTGTTCCTTAGCAGTTCAGGGTCCAAAAGAAAGAATGTGATTGTTTTATGCAGAGCTAACACGGGGATGTGTTTCCTTCCAGAGAGAGCGGGATTTGGCAATTACTTAAAAACGAAGTAAAAGAACATCGTCAGCTTTATCATCCGTGCACTGCGATACGAGCCCGCTCATTCGTGATACCTGGGCTTCCGATTTCTGCCAAAAGAAACCGGCACTACTCTACTATGCCTTTTCTTTCGTATCACCTATGTTTTGTGTGCACAGGGGGGGTCGCATTTGGTGTTCAAGATGAAGAAGAAATTAATAATTCTGACCCTGAACTGTTCCAGTCTTTGTTTTGGAGATGACTGACAGAGATACGAGCGGAGACTCGAAATGGAAACACCCCATCATCGGGAGGACGCTCTGTAAACACCCCTGCAGTAACTGAATCCTCTCGACATGAAAAAATAGCCAGATCTCGTCCACATCACAGTTCATATACAAGAAGTCATTTTTATTAATCTGATAAGCTAACGGATGCTCACTGAAGCTATTTACAATTACTGGAACAGAATTCAGAAAGCTAGACTTTTAGCCTAGGGTGTCAGTGGTATTTCAAGCTACGCAATGCAGCTCTGTACTGGGCTTATACAATTTAGAATTTAGTGCAGCAATCTTCCCGACTCTTAAACTTCAAAACGGCATAGTTATATGTGGTAGCCATCATGTAGATCAGCTGGTGGAAGAGAACAAAATACAGGAGGGTAAGATACAACGAGGCGATGGCTCGAGCCCACGTGGGCCAACTCTCGATACTTTCACAACAGACTGAGCTTCTTCCAGGGTGAAGATGCAAGGTCAGTAACTCGCCATTTACACACGGTCCTCATCACCAAAGAGTGACCATCACCCCTGGGTTTGGCTGGCGCTACGGGAAGCGCTGGCCACCTGAAGCAAACCATCTCGGTAACATCCCCTTGCCCAACCGCAGAGCTGGACTAATCAAACTGGCTGGCTCCAGACAAAAAACCTAAGAGGTTACGGGCGACCGATCAAATAAACTCCAGAAATGTACAGAAACAGTGGATGTAAAAAACAGAAATAGCGGGTGGAAGTAGGATTTTCAAAGGACATGCAAAGAATTTCATTCTAAGGGTGGGGGAGGCGGGTTAAGATGACTTCTGACAGCAAAAGTTTGGGACCCGCTGACCTGTAATGACCAAATCATAGCAGCAAATAATGGCGATTATGTCTAGTGTCGCTATTCTTAAGATACACAAAATTGGATCTTAAGGCATCTTAAACCTGAAAGGAACACGTTACACAATAAAAGAAGCAATAAAAAAGTGCTACCCACCAGTGCTATGACGGTGGCACCAGCTCCAGCACAAGCCACAATGAACAGGTGGTAAGACATGTAGAACTGCAGAAAAAACATGTTAAAACCATTGAAGTAACCAGGACAGGATAAAAAGCATTTCTGCTGCTCTAGAGAATAAGGATACTATAAAACCATCTTCATAGCAAGGCATTCAAAGCTTTAGAAAATAAAAACGTTCTGAAATTATTTTCAATTTCTGGATGACCTAACACGGATTTACACACAACACTGAAATTATTCTATCTCTTTACACTATCAGTATTAGCTTTTTCCAAAGAGTTTCCATCACGTTATTTATTACGTGGTGCAGAAGTGACTTGGAGGCAAAAGCTGCACGCAGGTTATGTTTCTGTACCTCATTCGTGTTGCAGATGTTCTCTAAAATCGGGCCACAGGCTTTGCCAGGGACAGCGTTCCAAGGGATAATACCTGCAATACCACAGCAAGAGAAAACACCTGTGTCAGCGATTGACACACGCTTTTCTGCTCCTCACCCATCTTTCCCACCCACTGGCCAGTTGTGTTCCTGTTCTGGGCACCCGCGCGCTGACCGGCACAGCTTGGATTTGGCAGGAGGAACTAGAACCACTCACTCAAGTTGTGCCTTCCCCCTCCACCGCGGCTGCCTGCCAAGACGCGTTCTCAGATGTGGCTTTCCCATATGGCAGCCAAATGGTGGGCTGGGTTTTTGCACTTCAGGTCCACTCACACGCTGCCTACGCCCCCACTCAGCGCTGGAAGGGAGAAGCTGCATCTCGGAGGTACTTGGCACCTTTCGGGATAGCGCTTACCAGATTCGGTTCTACCCGAACAAGTAACTACTGCAGAAGAGTGTGAACATGGAGCGAGAGGGGAGGATTTTTTTCTGGTTTGGTTCCAGTAGGTAAAAAAAAGCATGACATGAATGCTGCTGCAAGAAAATTCAGGCTGCTGTAGCTCATGTACTCCCAGTTACTTTTCTTACACAGCTGAAAAACCGAAAAGGTGACAGGATCTAGACTTTTAGGCCCACAGCAGATGTAAAGCTTAAGCAAAAGCCATCTGAAACGGGAGCAAACCAGTTTGTCTCCTCCATAGAGCTTGCATTTCAAACTCAGCTGGCTGGAATCAGCAGCTCCATAAGGGTCAGGTCATTGAAATGATCTCAGCATGGCATGGCCTTCAGAGAGATTTTACAGGATGGACTTTAAAGCCAGCTTCTTCTCTGCGACAGCAACATACGCTTGAGGCCTTTGAGCTTCACAGAAATGCAAGGCCAGTTCAATGGCACAAGGTGTCCGTGAAGAAGCTGCTCTCTCCCGCCACTCACTGAAACCCAAATGATTTTAGCGCTCAGAGGAACAGCACAGCCCTACACGGTGCTTGTACGGCTGTGAAACCACCAGGGGAAGCAGAAAGGTGGAGGAGCACATCATCTCCCTCTGCTCCCTGAAAACGTCTTCCCAGCCTCTTGCTGTCGGTTGCTAAAATAGGATGCAAACATTTAACTGATCTGGGACTTTTTGCTTTTAATATTACTATATCTTATATTGTTTTTTCAATCTTATATTATCTTTTTTAATATCAGTGTATCTCATCTTCTCCTGCTGGACTTAGAGCCCGGAGAGGAAAGCAAAAACAAGGTTTCTTTTTCAGCTCCGAATCTCAGCTTTGAATGGCTTAGTCCAAAGAAACACTCCTAGAAAACGCTGGCTAAAACCAAGCTAAAAGCAGTGGTGGCAAAAGCCCTTCTGCACAAGGGAAGCTGAGAAGAATAACTTCAGGAAACGTTCACCTTAAGGAATGAAATACTTGAAAAACCTGATCTTATTTTAAGCTCTGCTACCTGCATCCCCCTCGGATCGCTGTGTGCCATCAGAGAGCAGTGTTAATTAGTGATGAGTTAAGGCAGCTCTTGATTGCAGGTTTTTTTGACTGGAAGTAATTCTTAGAGCAAAGTTCAGGTGTTAACTTCATATTTAAAAGCAAATACAACTTTTGGAAAGGAAAGACTATATGAATATGGGTTCAAACCCCAGAATCTGGTTCTCTCTTTCACAGCGCTGCTTCTAAAGCAGTTTATTTCGAGGCTGATCTATTTTTAAACCTTAATATTATAGTATTGGAAACTGCTACCAAATCATTTTAGATAAACGACTTGCCAGTTCAGTTAAATTGATTGCATCTGGAAAGAGATCAGTGCAATCTGAATTAATTAGAAAAGTAATAGCACATTCGGAGATACAGGATGCTTTTGCATTTGCTTCGTTTGATAAGGCTGAGACAAAACTACTGCAGGCAGACCGAGGAGAAAGGATAAGGCATTTAATCAGGATTACAATAAGTACCGTATTGCCTGATATCCACGCAGATCTGGTCCCCTGGAACCGTCACATTTGTCTGCAGAGATTTGATGACTTCGCAGGTTGACCATATGTTATAGAACATAAAGACAGGCACAGCAGAGAAGCCAAAGACCCCGAGCCAGGCCACTCCGAGCACATAGGTGAGGAAAACAAACTGGGCAGAGAAAACACAAGCACTTCGCATTTATTCTTTGAAAAAAGCACTTGAATGTTCCTTAAAAATGCTTCAAAATAATCCCTCAGCACACTTTCAGAAATCAAGTAACAAAGCATTTGATTTCCAAGCACGAATGAAAACAGTATTCTCGTTGCTTACAAACACTTTGGTAGCTCAAGCGCTACTGAGAAAGTAGTTCAGACATTTCCATCAGCCTGCCTGAGCAAACCCCTTGCCCTCCTGAAAGAGCAGTGCATTAATTTCTCAAGATTCTCAGCGAAGCAGGGGTGCCGGCTGTAGCCTAAAACCAATAAAACCCCAACAAAAATCAATTTACATTTTTCTAATTAACTGCAAGGCACTAGTGTTTCTATACAACTTGCAAATCAAAACAAGAGAGTGAATCGATGTTCACAGAGCTCTCCCGTACTCCCTGATTTACTGAAGTCAATTTCGAATGCAACATTTGAGAATACCCATTTTGAAAAACATACCACGACCGCTACAGCAGTTTAGAAAGATTTAATTGATCCAATACACATTGCCAAGAAGAAAATGAGTTCCTGCACCTTAGAGAACCATGGATTTTCCATTGAAATATGCTGGTTTGGGGTTGCTCTTTCAAAAATACTACAAAATATAAAATTACTATGTGCATTTCCTTTGGTAAGATTATACAGTATGGCAACAAATTGCTTTGGAAATTTCCAGCCTGCCCCTGCCACTGGACGTCTTCCTTTTTACCTCTTCCTCTAAGATTTATGGTGACACAGTGGCTCTGCCACCAGTCCCCAGCTCCCTCCTCCTGGCCAGCCCAGGATTTGGATCCTGGAGGGATCCTGATTTGGATCCCACGTGGAAAGCAGGGGAGCGCTGTTACCCCTTGCACGCTCCCTTGGTGCTGGTTCTTCAGCTGTAGGTGGACTGGGAAGCCTCTGCTTCCAGTACAGCACTGGTGCTGCGCTGTCTCACTTGAAACTTGGGTGGGAAAGGATGGGAAAGGCCCCAAGGGGGGAGGTTGTCTCAGCCTGACTCAGAGCTGCGGGGCTGAACTAACGCTGCAGGGATGTACAAACACCCTATGTCGTATTAAATACTGCCGTACACCAGACCTGCACGCTTTATGTGAGAACTGAGAATTCTCTCTTTGGGTTTTGGTAAGGACCATGCGGACCAGTTTAAAAGATTTCTATAGATGCACTACAGGTAAAACGTGGCTCTGCATATGTATACATGGAAGTGTGCATGAGAGGAAGTACATGAAGCCTTTAACTGCTAAAACAGGCAGGAAAAAACACACCCACTCGCACATTTAATGCGGTAACTGTGGGAAATGGCTGTTCTGCATTACCACAGCCAACACAAATAATTCAGGGAAGTTGGAAGTCTGTCTTCTGTAATAACCTTATGCAAGACCCTGGAGGTGTTCAAGAAGCGCATGGATGTGGCATTTCAGGACGTGGTTTAGTGGGCACAGTGGTGTTGGCCTGACAGTTGGGCTCGATGATCTTAGAGGTCTTTTTCAACCTTAATGATTCTGTGATTCTAAGAGGGTAGGGACTGCCTCTTAGGACCTCACAGGATCACAGAATCTCAGGAGTTGGAAGGGACCTCCAAAGATCATCCAGTCCAACCCCCCTGCCAGAGCAGGATCACCCAGACCAGGTCACACAGGAAGGCGTCCAGGCGGGTTTTGAATGTCTCCAGAGAAGGAGACTCCACAACCTCTCTGGGCAGGTTTACCTCGCTTGGCAACGTCACGGAGGAAGAAGTAGAGGAGCTCTTGATCAAAGAGGCAAAGAAAAAAATGCTGTGTGTACAAAGGCGTGTTGTCCATGCCCGGCTGCAGCCACTACTCTGTTCAGATATTGTATCTCCTTGCAAACCTGCTTCTAACCTTAGTGCTTGAAGCAGCTCTACCAGTACACAGCGGTGTACAGGCACTTTTTACGCCATGACTGTCACCACTAACCACTGATGGGTCTTCACCACAGCTCCAAGCCATCACTCAGCTGCTAAATTCTCTCCTTCACTGTGTGGACAAATATAGGCAAACATGAAAACACGTTTCTCTGTCACATTTCCATGTGTCACACTGGTATTTGTGCAAGCAGCTGACAATCACGTGCCAGCAACTACTTCACTGTACAAGCAACTGGCTGCACTAACGAGGTGCGAGGATGTGGATGTTTCTACTGCATTCTGGATTTTGGAAAGCGCTGCTTTAGATCTAATTTTGCTCCTCAGTGAAGATCACACTTGCTAGAAACGGAGCGAGCAAATAGCTGCTTCACTGGAAAATGATCGGATGTCTTATTTTTATTAGCTCTTGAAAAATTCACTAAGCATCCAGCAGCACAGTGGAAAATTGTTAACCCTCTTGAAAATAAACATGCATCTCCTTTTTATTTAGCCAGCTGAAAGTACATATTTTTTAAGTACAGGATATATATTGTATATTAAAATGCAACAATCACATCAAAAGCCTCTTCTCTTTTCACCCACACTTCCCCGTGGGCGATCTGTCATACTGCTTAGCTTCCTCCATAACTACGAGCTTTGAATTCAGATTTTCAGAAATAGCTTTGAAATTCTGTCTCAGAAACACAGTTATGTTTCTGTTCTTGCAGAGTGCGCCCTAGGGGGCAACGTGGGTGAGAATCTGAAGTTTTATTTTTAGTCAAACTTTGTTTTAAATTTTTTTCTAATACAGAAGCAAACTGAAGGGATGAAGGCTTGTAGCTTTGAGCGCTTCAGCTTTGTGAAAAAGACTCACTATTATATCTGTATGCCTTTCGCCATCTGCAAAAGCAAGACAGCAGCACTTAATTCAAGTGCAATGATGATGCGAAGCTTCATTCATCGCTGTTTGTCTGAAGGATCCAGACATCCTAAAGCAGAACTGACTATGGAAGTCAGAGGCATTACAGTTTGTTATTTAAACAGCTCTGCAAACCACAGCCATTTTACAGTCTGACTTTAGTGCATCACTGGTGCACTCCATGTTTAAAAGCACAAAGTTTATTTTGTCTTGCATTGAGCACTTTAAAATTCTCTCCTGAGAGGAGACCTTATCACCCTCTACAACTACCTGAAAGGAGGTTGTAGCGAGGTGGGGATTGGTCTTTTCTCCCTTGTACCTAATGATAGGACAAGCGGTAATTGCCTCAAGTTGCGCCAGGGCAAGTTTAGGTTGGATATTAAGAGGAATTTCTGTACTAAAAGGGTTGTCAAACACTGGAACAGGCTGCCTAGGGAGGTGGTTGAGTCACCACCCCTGGAAGTGTTTTAAAGATGAGTCGATGTCGTGCTCAGGAACATGGTCTAGTGGCTGACTCGGGGCTGGATCGATGGTTGGACCCAATGATCTTAAAGGTCTTTTCCAACCAAAACCATTCTGTGATTCTATGAAAATTAGCAGTCTCTATCAACTTAGTTTAGACCAGTGGGTTCAGCTTTAGGACACAGTAGCACCCTGACAGCCCATCTGCAGAATTTGGATTTGACCAAGCATCCTCCAGGTTCAAAGAAGGAGCAGCCACAGGGGTTGGCTCTGACCACCCACCAGAAGTTAAGCAAAAAAAGCAGCATTATACTGTGGTTCAAAAACACAGGAGTCAAACCGAGCCCAAAAAGTATTAGCAAGCGGAGATGACTGTTCCCACTTCTAATGCTACTCACCATTCCACTGATGCAGCGGCCACAGGCTGTCGTTTTGAACTCTCCATGCAGCTCCTTCACAGCACTTGTCGTATAAAAACCTTCTGCCAAAAGGATTATCCCATACAGGAAGAAAAATGATGCAATGCCATAAATTACATACTGCATTAGCTGTATTCTAAAATGGAAAAGGAAAAAAGAAAGATGTAATTAGATTTCAGTCCTATAAAAACAAAGTCAGTCCTCACAAATCATAATAGGTATGAGATAATTAATTTTCTAAAAACAGCGTTCAAGGCTCCTTAATGCATTCTAAGCAAGCAGGCTGCGGGAGAGCGCCGGCACAACTATCCCACTTCCACAGGTAAGCAACACCGAAGTCCATTCACCTTGCGTCTGCTTGAGCATCCTCTGTTCGTGCTGCACCTCTTACCCTGACTGGTATTATTCACTGGCTTGAAGCTGCAATTTCATGTCTCCACTATGGAGACTTCCTTTTTCCTGTTATTTTATCCCTGTCATGGCACCAAACTCAGGGAATGCCTGACAGAGGTGACACAGGGAGAGGAGTTTCAAATGGCAGAGGCTGGACCTGAACTACCAGGCTCCATGGGATTCCTTTGGCTTAGGGAAATGAAGTAGTCCCCAAAATCCACCATTTCCACCTATAAAATACAGTGAATGTATTTTTGCAAAAAATTGTAAATTCAGTGATTCTTCTCTGATACAAAACTCAGTCAATGTGCAATTCCTGAGGAGGAATGGTTCGCTCTGCAGCCTAGGAGGGTACTTCCAAGTGACCAAGTAGTTTCAGTGCCTTAAGTCACAGCAGTGTTGAGCTTCCCAAAATCTAATTAAATTTTTAAAAACTAAAAAAAAAAAAAAATTAGGAAATGCTTCCATTTCAGGTACTCTGGAATCATCCAGAGGAAGAGATTGCAAGGCATGTGGCACAGGCACTTCCCTCAGATATGATTTGAGAAGATTCTCGATTCCTTAAAAATCTACCATCTGCAATGATACGCTTACGGTGTTTTTACTCTGGCTAGAATAAGTAAATGGAAAGAATAATTTCTAAATATTAGCAATCAGATCCAGTACCTGAACCTGATTGTTTTGGAGGACCAGAATGCCCTATCATTCATATGACATTTCTTCTGGCCTCCAAAAATCATACTTTGTTAACAGTAAGACTTCTCCAGAACTTATGCCTTCTTAAAAGTAATTTGATTGTCGGGATGGTCATTTTTGGATGAAGTCATTCACAGAACAGAGAGGTTAAATTTAAACATCCACACTGCCAGTTTTCTACTGATAAATCTATTTTTCCTCAAATGTTTTTTTGAATTCTTATCACTTTCCACTAAGTAGCTGTTAGCATACATGTATATCTCCAAGGAGCATCTGCACGTTTTAGCTTAATTTAAAGATTCCTGATTACTACCATTTATAGTTAAATGCAGACAGATAGCATACCCCTTGTATCAAAATGGGATATTGCTAATTTAAAATTACACGTGGGAAGTGTTATGTTTATTTTCCAAGCTGATTAAAAATAACAGGCTAAATCTGTTGCACCTGTGCTGTAAAACATGAAAAAAATTAAGTTAAGTGTTCAAGAGAGAACAGAAGAATTCATTTCACTGTCATTTACTGTCTAGGAGGAACTCACTGCATGTTACCAGAAATTAGTAATATGAAAACTGGTTAAAAATCCATTCGAACAAATGGATTCGTGTATTTTTCATTTATTTTATGTCTCTTTGGACTTAAATTATTTGCCTCTTTCTTCTCCCTCACCTTGTTAGACCTCCTCAGAGCCTAAGACCTCAGCTGCTCCAGCAGGAGTTTCCCCAGCTGCTGACACTGACTTGACAAGACAGGTCGTCAACAATTCTCCAAAATTTAGAACTCGCTGCCCATTACAGCCACTTTGGCAATTTCTCCTGTTTTGCTCAAATGAACACTGACGCAGGCACAAGGACGTTTTGTTAGCCGGTCGCTGAAGAATAGCTGCTTAGTTTCTTGCTAAATTTTGTGGGTGACTGCAGGGTCCCTGTGGCTCACGTGCTGGAGCTGGGGATGTGGTGTCCAGCCGCAGCCAGGGTGGGAGGTGCTGGGGGTTCTCAGGGAACCCCGGTGGGGTGCAGTCCCAGAGTTGCATGGCAAATCTGGGCACAGCTGGTCCTGCAAGGGGGAGCAGCCTCAAAATGGTGCTGTGGGACTGATGCCAGCGCTCCCAGGGGATGGGGTCAGTTGTGGAAACCTCAGGCTCAGCGCATGCAAACCGGCCCACAAGCGTGAACCATGCAGGCCCCCTCTTCACAGAGGCACATGGCCTGCAAAGGGACCCCCACCCAGATCCCTTGGGTGGCTTTCAGCAGGTTTTGGCTGCCCTTCCTCACCCCCTGCCCCGGGACAGAGGCGTCTCCAGGGGCTGGCTGTGTGCTGGGCCTGCTACTGGTGCTGGCTTGTGGTAAGCAGAGAGCAAGAGGCCGAATCCAGACCCAGCATCCCAACATTGCTGTGTGTGAGACGCAACTTGAGCTAAATCGCTCACTGCCACCAGACAAAAGCCTTTTCAAAGCCTGGCGGTCCACTTGGAGGGGGTCTCCTAAGGCCCAGCATGTTCAGGCCACCAGTCCACAGCCCAGGACCCACTCGTCCCTCAGCATCAAGAGGAACAAGAGGCTCAGTGAGGCTGGGTGTAGGCCCTGACACAGGCCTCCAGGTCTTCCTCTGGTGTCCTGGAGGAGCCTCAGGAACACAAAAGCCCTGAATATTTCAACAGTGGTTATTTCCAAAGGCTATGGTTGCAGAGACAAACATTTAAGCTCTTTCCAGTCTTTTCTGTTTCTTCTTTCTCATAGTGCAATACCCGTCCACGTTCTTCTGAGGGGGGGATGGACAGAACACCACTTCCCTGCTATTCCTGTCATCGCTTCAAACTTTGTGTCACCAACAAAACCTAAACCTACCCTCTTTCAGATTAAAATTGTTACCCCTTGTTCTGTCACTACATTTCTCCATCTTGGCTATAAACCCCTTTCAAGTACTGAAAGGCTGCTACGAGGTCCTTCCGTAACTTTCTCTTCTCCAGGCCGAACAACCTCAACTCTCTCAACCTGTCCTCATACGGCAGACCCTCCATCCCTCTGATCATCTTCAAGGCCTTCCTCTGGACCTGCTCCAACAGGTACGTATCTTTCTTCTGCTTTTTCTTCAGCTGGATGCGGTACTCCAGGGGGGGTCTCACCAAAGCAGATTAGAGAGGCAGAATCACCTTCCTCATCCTGCTGGTCACACTTCTTGTGATGCAGCCCAGGATATGGTTGGCCTTCTGGGCTGCAGATGCACGCTGGTGGCTCACGTTGAGTTTTTCATCCACCAGTACCCCAAGTCCTTCTCCTCAGTGCTGCTCTCAGTCCATTTTACACCCAACTTGTCCTTGGGACTGCCCCAACCCAGGTGCAGGACCTTGCACTTGGCCTTGCTGGACTTCCTGAGATTCACATGGACACACTCCTAAAAGCTGTCCAGGTCCCTCTGAAAGGCATCCCTTCCCTCTAGCCACACCACTTGGCCTGGTGTCACCTGCAAACCTGATGAGGGTGCACTCAATCCCACTGACTCTGGCACTGATAAAGATATTAAACAGTATTGGTTCCAGTATAAACAGGTTAAGCAGGATACACACTCTGGTTCTTTGTGCGTGAACACTGAAAAACCACCGAGTGCTACTAGGCAAACAAGCAGCCTGCTACTCCGAGATGGAGACTGAGGTTTGGCTCCATCTCTGCTCATTTAGCATGAGGGTGCAATGAGGAATAATGGAAATGGGAGGCATACTTACACTTCACTCAGCAAAGCATGGTCACTGGCAGTCGTGGAGAAGTGCTGCTCGAGGATAGACACGGTCCCCGTGAGCGCCACGTGGCCGCAGCCACAAAACAATGCTACCCCCGAGAAGCAGAGAATGGTTGCCACGAGTGAAGCATATGGCACTCCTCCTAGGCACTTAATGCAACATTCAAAGCAACCTAAGCAGAAAAGAGAAAGCAAAAGAAACATTATGAGCAAAAAGCAAATTATGAGGAAAAGGATATTCATCCTCCACTTGGTAAAAGCCACAGGGACTAAAAGGCCCAGGCATTGACATACTAAGCAAAAATCTATAGGTGGTGCAAGACAGCATCACCCTCTAAAGCAGTGACCTACAGATCTGTTGGTATGGACTGAAAGCCCAGAAAGCGGGCTGAGTGCTCCTGTCTTTACAGGATCAAGAGGAGATCGATGAGACAGCCCATGAAATGGAAAAAGAAAAAAAAACACCACTTGGCTGAAGTGATCCATTGTGATTCAGCTGCTTATAGGGAGCTCACTGCGTTTCAGCATCACCAACGGCAGGAGCACCTGCTATGCTGGCACCATTCAGCAAGCCGGAGAAGCAAACACTCAAGAAAATGAAGCCGTTTGGAAAAGTAAAAGATACTTTGAACTTTCATTGGAAGAGGAACACATTTAAGTCTGCAAAACTTAGCTACCCTATACTTTCCCAGGGCTCCTACGTATCTTTTTTTGTATAAATCTGTATAAAGTTACAGAGATACAGATATTCCAACAACAGGAAAACCAAATGGAGGCCAAAGAGTAGCAATTTTTAGTGAGAGCAGTGAGATGAAGCTGTATTACACCGACAATACATTGCCAGCTTTACAGGATACACCGGACTCACAGTGATCCCTGAATAGAGTCTGCGGTAGCATAATCATAGTTTTAATGAAATGCATTGTTTAAGCAGTCTGAGTTAACAAAAGACCCCCCATCCCCAGAACTGCTGCTCTGCAAACCCTGTAATAAGGAGGCTGCGGCTGAATTGCCAGGTTCCTCCCGACCGCGCGGCCTGAAAACCCATCTGCTTGCAGAGTGGGGAAATGTAAATCGGAAACAAACACAGCTTTTAACTGCGCTATAATGGTAATGGCGATCCATACCAATTCATTACTTCAGGGTGCTGGCATTAAGCTGTCTCCATTAATGTGCGTTTCATACAACTGCGCAAAGCACAAGCCATTAAGACAACGCTTAATGGAGTGACCAGCGTCGCACGTCGCTGCTCCTACAGAAGGCGTGAAACGGACAACACGTTCGAAGGCAGGGAGACAGCTGGCAAATGCATACATCGCGTCTTCCTGCCCCAAAACGTCCTCAGGAAGATCAGCAAGTCTCCATCCACCACACGAGGAAAGTTTATTTTTATCGCCCTCCCTTTCTCACTAATGAATGAGCTGCAGGGCAGGCACTTCCGTGGAGCACTGGGGAATAAAATGCATCCCGTAATTGAAAGCCTTCCCATTTCACAAGTGGGAAACTCTCCTTTTAGAGAGTCACCAGCAAGTGTCTCAGTCAGGCTTAAGCAGCTCTCACTGCTGCAATGACTTATGAAACACCACTTCGCTAACTGCAGACAAGATTTAATTGTACGGAAGCAAGCCTGGGAAGCTTTTATAGTCAAACCCACAGCTGGAGTCCGCTCAGTAGGAACTATCTTCACAACAAAAATACTGCCAAATGAACAACCACTGCAGCGTAGCAGTGATGGGGCAAACAGAATCCAAAAGCGTGCTATCGGAGGAAATAATCTCTGGTTTTCACCTTATCAGAGAGGCCCAGAGTCGAGCTCAGCCTCCAGACCTTGCAGAGCGATCCTGTGCTCTGGGGAATCTGCCCGAGCGCGGCTGCTGAGCCAGACGCAGCGGCAGCGGCACGCATGAGGCTGGCTCGCCTCCGCAGCATCTGCTCCCGGGTCAGGCCCAAACCTCCCTGAGTTAATCCAAGAAACGCCTGCACCTGGCGCCAGATTAGCGGCGAAGGATTATCCAGGAGTAACCACGCTCCCATCCAGCAGGCAACCCTCAGCACTGAGATGGCCACAGCTCAGCACAAAATGGACAGCCTTTCGGGCCACGCTCCTGAAGGAGGTGACTGAAGGCCAGATCCTTGCTTGGTGTGGAGGAGGCTGATCACCTAGGCATGCTGATCCACAGACTGCTTCGCAGAAGGATCTTATCACAGGTAGGAAATGAAAACAGCTGGAGGCAAAGCCAAGAGACTCCTGAGGTCCAAAAGAAAAGCTGCTGGTTTCAGAAAATGAGGTCAGCCTGCTTGACAAAACTAGAAATTGGTGTAGACCCAGGACTGACAATTAACACCCCCCCAGATTAAGTACTCGTCCCTCCCATACTGCATACTTGGCTTTCCAGGCCACCAGCAGAACGTTGGCCCTGGAGAGTGTCCTGGAGCACAGGAAGCACCAAAACCAGCACGTTTCCAAGAGACAGCATCCATCCAGGCAGTCATTCTGCACCCAAATAGACAGCAGCGCTGCACAGCCTCCTGCCAGAGGGTACCTCACGGCACGACGCAACCTCCTCATGGCGCTGGGGCTGCCAGACCCCCCACAGATCCCACTGTGAGCCCTTTTGAGGAGCTTAAATCCATGCCTAGCCTGAACAATACAGCTGTTTGGGTTTTTTTCTAATTTTGTTTTAAAGCAAGACTAAAACAGTACTGCCAGGAGCAGCTTTCAAACCCAGCTTAAATTTGAAGCTCATCATAACGAAGACAGGCTGACCAAGCTTCCCAAACTGGCACTGAAGCAAATCAGAGGGCTTCTTAAAAAAATGAAAGCTTTCCAGGCAACCTGCTTTATGGTATCTCTCTCTCTAAGTCAGAGAGCCACCATGTCAGCAAAGTACCTTCATACAGTACAACCGAAAACCCAAAATGATGTTTGCCAAGTTCATGCTCACAAAGTAACTTGCCAACGCATCGATGACAACCACAGGCTGAAGGCCTGTGAACTGAAGCTGACAAAAATAAGTAGTATTAAAATAAGTTGAGTCTCAATTTTCTGCTAGTTTTTACTTTCTGTATGGCCAACACGTTGCACTTTTCAGCTGTACGTCCACTCGCATATCCAGTGCAAAACGACTTAAATATGAAACTGTAGAGCGCAAACACACAGCGCTGCATCCCCCCTTTCAATGGCCATTTTGTGCAAGGCATCACTAGAACCTTTTGTGCAACTCAGCAGAATAAAAACATTTTTTGTCCTCGGGCTGGCGAGCAGCAGTTGCCATGGAGGCAGGTTAATAACAGCCCAATGATTTGCCCAGAGCTGCCTGTGATCTTGGCTACAGATTTAACACACTCTCAGAAGGAGACCAGCTAAAACAAGGACTGAGATTATTCTCTAGGGAATGAATGCTATTAAACACACACACACACACACACACACACACACGAATATTCTTGCTAAAGGACAAAAATAAAGAGAAGAGGGGAAAAATAACCAGGAACTGGCTATTCTTTTAATCTCCTGGAAACTATCAGTCAAAGGAAATTGTTAAAGGATGAACCTACATATGTACACAAATCGGCAATTGGTCGCTTAATGTCTGAAGAACAATTATACAACCCACCCAGCCGTGCACAGGCTATGGCATACACACAGCGGCTTAGCCATTCAATTTCCCGTGTCAAATGGCAACTCTGTGGCTAAACCTTCTTTGGTCCTTTAAGTACAGCTTTAAGATTTAAACTCAGAAAAGCAAGGCAATGCGGAATTAATGGAAAGCGGTCTTAAAAAAAGAAAAAAAAAAAGGGCAATTCTGGCAATTCTCAGATTCTTAACCCTGATCCTACAAAGGTCAAGACGGAGTGAAACAACAACAACATCAATGCTTTGGAAATGACAAAAGCCAATGCAAAGGGTCCAGGTAGCTGTCTCGAGTCCCAGGGCTTGCTCTAGGATGTTCATACACCAGGTTTTGAAGCCTAGACTTGAAAAGCTGAGACAGACACATGTTCACAAAGCCATCCCTCAGAGTGAAGCACGGAAAACGTGATGTAAGGGAAGGGTATCCACGCCTCCTGCCCTCTAATGTCCCAAACTCCTCCTAGGTTGAAGTAGTGCCTCGATGTACATCAGGTATGAACCACTGATCCCACAGTCAAGCTCACTACAGAACAAAACCCCAAGGAACAAAGAAAACCTGAAAGGAGGTTTGAAAAGCTCTCCATTTCAGGGAGCTAAACCTCTAGGCTCCCGTGGCCATTTTTTGAGTTAGTTCCCACTCTCTTATTCTTAGCAGTTTCATTTCTTCCCCTCCCACAAATCTGTCTTGCTCTCCTGAAAGATGAGGCAATGGGCACCACTTTTTCTCATCCCTTACTTCCCGTAAATGTGTAACACATTTTTAGAAACCCTGGCATGCTGGACACCTGTCCAGTTAATATGTGGTAGAAATCACACAGCATGACGCACCACAGAACCACGATCTCTGCTGGCTTCAGCACCACAGCTCAGGGAGCACTGTGTGGAGGATTTGTTTTAACAAAAAGAAGGTTGCAGGAGACTCAAGGAAAGAAAAAGCACGAGGTAACATCTTGGAGCACTAGATAGCATGTTAAATGCAGCCAGTGTATGTAAATCAGGCTTATTATTACACAGCATTGGGAGCATTACTCCCAATTCACAAATAAATGTAAGCAGAGAAGTCAGTGCTTTACGTTCACTCCCTGTTTCCCCAGTGCGGAAGATTACCAAGCGTGCATTATACCAGCAGAGCCCTAAACTACCACGGGTCTTTGTCAGACAATAAACTTTATGTCACTGAAAGCAAATGCCAATACTACTTTCTGCCACCTACTGTATTGTTTAAAATCTCCATTCTGAATGGCTTATGCATGCTAGGATGTACATTTTCACACCTTACAGCATGACTGACAGCTATGGGGGAAGCAGTGAGGGATGCTGGAGTACACTAATATCTCAGAAGGGAAAATGGAATTTACCTCCTTCTTCCCTGCGTGAGAATGAGCCAGCACCGGGCAGTAAGATAACTTCGCTTCTCACACCAGCAGTCAAGGGTCAGTGGCAGCAGCACAAGAAGATAAAACATTTCATCTTACAAGGGTAAGTTTAAAGCATGCGACAAATTTCTCTCCACACTTTAATAGGGCACTAAAATAAAAAGGCTGTGTGTGTTCAATCACTTGGAAGTCTTTGTTGAAGCTCTGTCCTTACCTATTCCTCTTCAACTTACATTTTGCTGATTAACAAAACGAGACGCAAAGCTAAAACCTGTTATTAATGGCAATAAATACTCACCACACTTTTGGATTAAGTACATTAAATAAGTGATGAGCTCAAGTAGAGAAAATCCTTTATTTTCCTCCCACAAAGCTCTTCCACAGAAAACTTCCTCTCAAGTTCAACCTTTCCTAATTTTGCTTTTCTGTCCTCCCCAAATCAGAAGCTGTGAAATTAACTTCCACTGAAAATGAACTCTTCATGAGGGCCAGAAAGCTCAGAGAGAATTCTCAGCAGAGAATTAAAAATCTTGGCTCAGGCCTCCTGTGCTGGAACCAGTGCAGAGACACAAGGAGGATCAGGTGCACGCTAAGAACGAGCATCTCACAGCCTGGCAGCAGCATTAGCAGACCCGTTTTTAAATCCATAAGGCACCAAGTATCTCTGTGGTACCATATGAGTAATGATAATAAGCTGCTCCCGAATACTTCAGCAAAAATACAGCAAAGCACGGGTGTAAAATCAAGCACACTTTTTTTTCTAACATGATTAAACAAAAATAACCCAAACACCCTCGCAAAGGTTATCAGTGCTCATCAACAGCAAAAGCTTCTTTCTTTTCCTTTCACTATAGAAAATACGACGTTCAAATGGGACAAAAAGGCTGTTCTACCAAGACAAGATTTGTCTCTTCCGGATGCTGTTAAATGACACAGAGAAGACTCTGAAACAGACAGCAGCAAACATAATCCCCTTTTTTTCTTCAAATCTCAGGCTCAAATCAGCACTTCCTATTAAAAAATAAAAGAAGCATTCCCACTGCAGGAATTAAACCTATTTCATGTGAGGACAGATGATCTGCATGGTCTTTTATAGGCCTTATCTAATTTATCTTCTTCAAATTTACTGAAATACACACACTCCCCATCAGTATCACTGCCAGCCTCTGGAAGGCTCAGTAAGCTCCCAGATGTTCTGAAGGCGTCTTTTTCAGACAGCACAATCTATGAAATATGACTCCCTACACCCATGCTTACTGCAAGCCCCCATCCCATCCCATCCCATCCCATCCCATCCCATCCCATCCCATTCCATGTGTTTGCTGTGTGCGAGCAAGGAGCCAGACCCGCACACGAAGAACGTCGTTGCCCCATAAGGCAGTGGGATGAGGGAATTGCTCTTGTCCAGCTTTACTGCTTTTAGACAGAGGCCACGTAAAACTTGGTTTATTTTAATTCATGTCTTCTCTGTTTTAGTTTTGGGCCATAAAACAGTGCAAAGCATGGCAGAAGAACAATACATAATCTATAGTTTGGAAAAGGCCTTACTTCAAACAGGTTCACATGGGAATCCTTGAGGATGGATCTTCTTTAGCTATAAACTACTTCTTCTTTAGCTGTAAACTACTTCTGCAGACAAAAATTAAGCAGCTGATTTTAAAAGAGACTTCTCACATAAGGAATAGCTCAAGCAGTATTGACATAAGCTTCAGGATTAATCCTCCTGGAGACTCGTTCTAGACTTTTACTATTCAAAACAACCCTTGGGACTTCTGCACAGCCTGAGCACGTGGAAGTGCTCATTGACACAAAGAGCTCAAAGTGCAAACACACTGCACCAGCAAGGGCAGCATCTCCTCCAACTTACGACTGTAACTCTCCATCGACAAATCAACAACTTGCTGCTCAATGGGCCTGGAGACGTTCCTCCTCTCTGCCCTCACCCTGGCCTCCCTCCCCTCGCTTCACCTGCTTTTGCCTTCTTGGAGAAACACTCAGTAGGGTCAACACGCAAGAACTGCTGCTTCAGTAGGTGCCAACCCGGGTTTTGGACAAGCTCAAGACAAAGAGGCAAAACAGCTGAAGCAATGGGCAGACTGCCAAAGATATTCAAATGCCTGAGGGCCCAGACAAGCTCACCAGGGTAAGCACAAAAGCACCTAAGCATTTCAGCCCCATGGGCTACCTCAGCAGCACTGTGAAACCTGATGTAAGGACAACTGGGTTTCCTCACCTGTACCTGGCTGACAGAGTTTTTAAGGCTGACTTTAACCAAAGGTGAGTATCTTACCTGGAAGACTGGAGTTGAGACTTTCAGCTCCAACTTTCTGGCAGCTGTAACTCACCTCTCTCTCCTCAGCCTTCAGCACTCACCAGGAGAGCAAGACTTTTGCCACACTGGATTTCAGCCACTGCTACTGACCGCTGCCCCAGTTGGCTCCTCCCTAGCTACAAAGAAGCAAACAGAAACACAACCTCTCTCTCCCTAGAGCTGAGAGCCTAAAGCAGCGTGTGTGGGGATTTCAGCCTGGTGGATCTACAATTTGGAAGGTAAATTCTCCATTTCAGAGCTATCTGAAGATGCCAAGATCTTCCCAGATGTTTACCCAACCATGGAACTAGAGAAGTAGTGAGAAACCTGAACAGAGGTCCTTTGCAGAGGTCCTTTGCTGCAGAGGTCCTTTGCCCTGCAAGTGTTTTCATGCCAGTATTTTCCCAGTTGAGTCTCCAAATTTAAGCTTGCTTCAGTAAGGGAGCAGGCTGTTTCAGTGAGATACTTCATATTCGCATGTCCTTATGCGCTTGCAAAGCAGCTGAAACACCTCCCAGCATCTGGGAGAAGCAAGTTAAGAAAATTTAAAAAAAAAAAAAGATTCCTATAAAGCAAACAACACCCACTCAGCCTGGAAGAGCGCCTACAGCTAAGCTCATGTTAAGCAACCATTTGCTAAGTTTCTCTGACTAAAGGAAAAGATGGTACTTTGCTTCCTGGGAAGAAAAAAAAAGTGTTTTGGGCATTTTGAAAGGCTCCCTAAGCTTGCAGGTGTTCTGGGGATGTCTTGGCTCCAGCACCGCAGTGAATATCCTACGCTCACTCTTCCCTCGTTGCTCAAGTGCCAGAATAAAGCCTAAAATGGAGAAGGGAGATCATGTCATAGGTGGAGACCCCGGGAGAAGAGGTGGATGCCACGAGGATGCTACAGAGGTGCTCTCCCAGCGATGTCCATTTGGACGCTGACATGGGAGGCAAAGCAGAAATCTCTGTACTGCAAAGGCACCCCAGAAATAACGTGGCTTGTCAAAGAAATGGAGAGTTTATCTCGGCACAGCAGCCAATGCCCCCCAGCAAAGGGGAGCTGTATGCCAGTTCTGAAGGGAGGTGCATTACAGCGGTGCCTTGTGTTGAGACTGGAGTGACATTTTCCTCCGATCAAAGGGAAAGGAGCTAAGACCAATATTTTCACTGTGGCTAATCCATCACTGGCAGATTGATCTTACTCAGGACCTGTTCAGAGCAGTTTCATTACTGCCTGAAAACCTTTTAATTTCTTTAAGTGCAGCTATTTAAAGTGCCATCCCTTGCACTGGCATATCTGGGCTTTGTTGGTGGGGTTTCTTTACCCCCATCAGCAAGACCCCTCTCATCTTCAACTCCTCCATGGCAGGCACTACATTTACCTGCATGTTATTTCAGGAAGATTCCCAAGGCAGCCTGAATAGGGTTCAGTTGCCTAAATACGGGTTTCTAGCAGCAGTTTAGGTGCCAGACTCCCAGCTGCTATGACAGAAGGCTCTGCGTCTCCTCTGTGCCCCCAGCACATACGGACGTGTCTGATCACTGGGGACAGCTGATGGGGCACAAGAGCCTGACAGCCAGGCACCTGGCCTGCTCCCTCTGTGTCCTCCACAGCCCAGGAAGGCAGCACTCATCATCTATCGCTCCTTCCTGAAGCATCTCTTCCATGTATAAAATATCCCACGTGCACTCATCTGAGGTCTGGGAATGTCTTCTGGCAGCCCCAAGTCTGTCACCCACGTAAATTGCCATAAAATATGATCAAAATCGATACTGAAGATCATGATCTGCAACTTAAGTACTTGCAAAAAAAAAAAAAGCCATTTTGAAATACATAAACACTTGAATCCTAAAGAACAAATTGTGTACAAAAATATAACGGAAAAGGGCAGGATGAGGAAGCAAGCTTTGGTGAATATTTCCCTGTGATTGCTGTTGAAGTCTCTGCTGCGGAGGCAGGCATCTCCAGCAAACAAGCTGTCAAGCAGGCTTCAGTCAATCAGCTCCATAAAGAGAAGAGGATTGCAGGCTAGAGCTAGCTGCAAATGCCATCTCTGAGCATTTATATCCTTTGCTGTGTTAACCCTCAGTCAGACTGGAATTTTCCAGTGCAATCAATCGTGTGCTTGGTTTCAGGTGCCTTTTTGAGATGCTTCAAAACTAAATTTTCCCCAGACCCTTAAAATAAAGCTTCAGGAAAACAAAATAAGATCTTTGTGAAGTCTCAAGGCAGATATTGAAAGGGCAGGCACGTGGAGTCACCGAATCATTTTTAAAGCCTCTGCTGATATCCTCCCTTGGACTCTTGACATAGGCATTTACTGCTTCTAGCAAGGGAAAAATGCAAACGAAACCACAGAATATTGTCTAGGAAGAATACTGTAGGAGAGCAGTACGGTTGATGTGCTGTCTGCTGCATTTCTGGCTGATGAGTCTGACAGATTCACCTGCTTACAAAATCCAGACCACGCTGTCTCACCTGTAAACAGTTTTGAAGCCATCGGGTAGCACAGTGAAAAGGGAAGGGTCCCTCACCACACATTATTGTCTTTAAAGCATTAAAAACCAAATTTAAATTCATGTCAAGTATTCATACATAAGAACTAAACCCTTTACAGCCTTAACAAATAAAACAAGGAAAACAGAAGAACATTTATGTTAAATTTTTACGACTAGTGCAAAGCATTAGGTTTATGCTACTCCCATTTCTGAACTCTCCATTTCCCTTTCACCCAGCCCTTTATTTACCTTGAATCCCCAAAGGACTAACATTGCCTCTCACTGCTGGCACATGATGGTACCGGTGTGGCCTTGAACTCCTGTACATCCAGTGGTACCTGCCAATTTCCATTTCTGGTCTGGTGATCACTGCCAATTTTAGGTGGTAAAAAGTCAGTGTCACCAGCAAGTTTTAGTTCAGTACTTTCAGTCATTTAACTTTATTAAAATAAGAGCCCGGAAAAACACGCTGTAGTTTCAGAAGTGAAACAACATTAACTTTACCAAAAGCAAGGGAGGGGCTGGGAGGGACATCGACAGGGATATGCTCACACATGTGTTAAGAAAGGCTGAAAAGCTAAAGCTCCACCTAGGATTTAAATTAAACACATAAGGAAGGACTCCCTATTCCTTCCTCCCCACCCACTCTCACATCTCCCTCCCTTTGTCCATGGCAAAGAGTTTTCCAAAAGTAAAGAAAGACAAAGTAACGGAAAAACATGTTACCTGTTTTGGTTTTCTAAAAAATATTCTAAATTTGTCAAAAAAAGTGGTTATTGACATGTGTAGAGGCAGAGCAAACACCAAGTTTGCTCTGTTGCTTTCTCGCATGAAAAAAAACCAAGCTGCAGGCTTTGTTTCACGTAGGCTCTGCTCACGTCCAAAAATCTGGACCAAGTATGTTAAAATCGACTTGTTCCAGGTTTGCAGTGAAGGAGAGAAGTTATGCTTCTCCTCACCTTTTCAGAGGGCAGATGAAGCTCAGTAATGAGATCTCATGTGCAGTAACACACCTGCCCCACTCACACACTCATCAGCATGGGTCTGTGAAAGAGGCCACTGGCGAAACACCACCAAACTGCTTCTGAACCTACCTGTGCCCCCTCGGCACCGCTACGGCTTTGGTAAGGCTGCCAGGGTGAGACAGGCCGAGCTTTATTTGAAATGCACCAGAGTCTCACTCTGCCGGGGCTAAATGAGAAAGTAACCATCATCTTCGGCAAAAATAAATCCCATTCAGCAGCGTTAGGGCGTATTGAGAAAGGGAAGGTTTCAAGGCTGTAAATCCATCTACTAGACCAGAGACAAATTCTGGGGGTCAGGAGGAGTAGGAATGCCATACATTTCTGGCCTGTGAGGGGCTACAAAGGTCCTGGACCTGGTCCCTCTCTCGTGTGGTTTTGCTGCTGGTGCAAGGAGGAGTTTGGCTCAGCTAGGTTTGCATATGTCAAGAAGAGAAAAAACCCTTGGCCTTGAATCCGAATGTTGGATCTCAAGATTTGAAACAGGAATTTGTTCATCTCCTACATGGGGAAATGACCTCCTATACTAAGGTCGTCTTTTGGGTTTGGGGTACAAACTTGGCTCTCTAAAGGATATTTTGTGGCTTGGTATTTCTCCCCTCTCTACCAGCAAGCTGGTATGAGGTAGTATATTTATGTTCCACATCTAACGAGCACAACCAAATTCAAAATGTGTCGAAAAGATTGTTCCAAAATGTCTGTGTGCGCTCAGGATGATATCATCTCCTTCTGCTAACACAGGAACAATCCTGTTTCTGAGATCACAAGGAACGCCACCATAATTGAATTGGATACAAAATGGAAAATAACAGAAGTCCTTCCTAGTACTGCATACTGTCTCCTCCCTCCCTCCCAAATATCTGCTTCTGGCTTTTTTGAAGCTACTTGCTGGACATTGGTAACAGATTCAGATTTTAAAATAAAGAAATTTAACAAAATGAGCTGCAAAGACTTCTGGGAAGGAAAAAAAAATCTTCATTCGCATTGCAGCAGCATCTGGACCAAATCCTTGGCACCAAAAGGATTTTATCCGACCACGCCAGACCCCACAACTGGAGATTTCTCCTGGAGTGGCTACAAAACCCCCTCGCTGAGGGCAGCAGAACAGCAGCTGCCCTTCTCCCTTAGCCTGGGGGGGACACTGGTGAAGTCACCACTGTCTGCTGTGGGACAAACATCAAACCCTGAGATGTGGAGATAGCACGCAAGCTTGGAAGCATCATTTCTGTAAGTGAAAATGTTCTATGAAGTTGGGGCTTTTTTTCAGTTTCTGAGTTTGCGATAACAGGGCTTCTTTCATTAGGAACCCGTTCACACTCCATGAGGAACCTCAGTTTTTCCACTGCTCTGCAAAGAGCCACTTAGCCACGGCTCTGCACGCCTGGCACGACCTCTGAAGATGAAGAGTATCTTTTTGGGGACTTCACTGGGACCCACCCAGGCCCACGCGTGCAAATCGCCACCAGGGCAAAAGCCCCACAAGCTGCAGTGGCACAACAACCAATGCACACAGCATGTATGAATTGAAGTTTAACACTGTACCCAAAATAGTTAGGAAAGAAAAATTGTTTAAATTACTTCTTATCTTCTGCTTTTTGAGGAACTAACTACACAAACTGCCTTCCCAGGCCTAGGTTGCAATACTCTCCATGCACAGCCAAGCTCATACAGCTCGAGGCCTCCTTGCACCAGGTTGTACTCGATCTTGCACAGACGCAGCAGCTACAGGACTGGCGCTGTTTTCATGTCCCACTGACGGCGACTGCAGTGTTCGATATTCATTGGGATAAATCACCTTGCACGCCCATAATAAAATCCCCAGCGCCCCACATCCTCACACTCGCTGCATTTCGTGTATGGTTTGAGACGAAACAAACAGTTGGGATGTTCACCCATCGCAGCTGATGAAGCAGGGGCTGTCATTTGGTTGTTTATCATCTGGTGATGAATACTGCATGAGGTGCAAGGCTGGGCAAAAAATGGGGAAAGGTCAGAGTAACTGAAGGGGGTTCCCTCCATCTCTCTTTTCTCCCCTCTTCAGCCCCTTTGCTCCCACTGCAGAGTCCATTGTGCACGCTCAGCGCCATCTGGGGTATTTTTCCCCCCGTTGCCATACCCTGTGGCACATATGTCAAGGTTTTCTGCTTTCGTCAGGTCATTTGGACCAATACAAGTGCGTTCTCTGAGTGTTTTTCAACCCCCTCTTATTTAAAAACCAAATCCTATTCATTAAAACCTAAATCACTAAGCCTGCCAAATTATTATCCCCAGAATATCGCGTGTCCCAGATTCTCCCTGGGCTGGACCTCTCTTCCTACAGTCATATTCTTCAGGGACTTAGAGCAGTTGTTGTTTTCAGGGGATCTGAAACACCAATAAACTGCTTGAAACGGGAAGAAATATGTTTGGGGTTATTTTTAGCAAAAATTTTAGCATACTAAAAATCTTCAAACGGCCCGACAGCTCTGAAGTCATCGTGTCAGCCTAACATGAAGGGAGTATGTTTCAAAATTTTGCCTAATAACCATAACACGCATATAAAAAAGGCAATCTCTTCAATTTGCTGTAATGCAAAATACGTCTGTGATGCACAAAAGTGTCATAAGCTCACTGCATATACAGAACTTCGCTAAAAGTGAAATAAATTGCACATTAATTCATTCCTTTCTCACGTCACACTTCAGCAGCTCTATTTACACTACTGGACACAGTTGTGCTTGAGAGACGTATCCTCTATCTTTTACTAGCGTATGTTTGCCTGTTTAGAGTTTAAAACCGGAAAGATGGCTTCATAGACGATGAAAATAATAAAGCTCCCAGCCATTCCTGAGCACGAGGTCGTCTTTCATCGAGAGCACATTAGTCAGGAAGAGCCAATTAAAAGGAACCTCGGGTCCAGCTGCTCAGGCTGGTTTTCATTATTCCTCGGCACAGCATACGCAATTTGAACACCATATGCATTTGTATAAGGAAACGACATTGTAGGGTAATGGCTTTCCTCCATCCTCCCATGTGTAATCGGCGAATTCACCGTGGTCATCCACTGTTGGGTTTTTGGTTTCTGTGTTTGTTTTTTATAATTTCGCAACATGGGAGCATTTCTCCTAGTTAAATGAAAAGGGAAACTTCTTGTCCCTGTTAATGTGTATCAGGATCTATATCCTTCACTGCTGATGCAAAACGGCATTTCGTTTTTCTTGTTTATTCCACCTCAGTAAATCTGCCTGCCCAGTCCTCACGTTTTGATTTAATTTAATGCCTGCAAGATAAACCCTGTCATTTGTAATAATTTGTAAACCTTCATCTTTAAAATGCATCCAATCTGTCCTGCAGCCCTGTAAAGTATCTGTTAAACATTTTGCTTCGGCTTGCTCATGGTGTTCTCCTCTGATAAGGGCTGCCGATACACAATATAAAGCTGACTTATTTCTTATCTCCATCAACACGGGTGTTGTTCCATTTCCAATTAAAAAAACTGGGGCAGCAGCCACTCATCTGGATGCACAGAAACAAATGTCTGATAAACACTGAATCCATCAGCTGGGCAGTATCACTTCCTGAATCAGGCAGGGGATTCACAAAAACCACCACGAAAATAGAAAACTGGAATTCATACACAATCTAGCGAACTTTATGAATCTAAATGAGATCAACCATTTTCAATTACCAATCAGTAAATATTCATAAAGTGCACCAGCTTGTGCAAATCGCCTAAACTACGTTGCAATCCAAAATAGCTGGCCAGCCGCCTTTTCCTACAGGGATGGGGAACACAAACCAGTACCTATGTGGCACCACCGTTCAGATCTGACCATCTCAGGTGCTCGAACTGGAAATAGCTCTCAATGCTCATCCCAAGCGCCCGGGCAGGGCTGCTTTCCAGCATTCTCCTCCAGAGTACAGGGAGCCCTGTATATGGACAGCACATAGCCCCAGCACAACTTCCTCTAAGTATCTTTTCTACACAATTACAGTACATCACTGAGGAGGTCCTCGCATTAAAAAACACGACCTGGAAACCTGCAGTTTCAAATTCTGGTAAAGGAAAACCAAAACCTCTTAGCTGAAAAGTACAATTTGCTAATAGGTAAATGCAGACGCTTTACCCTGGACTTGGCAGTGCAAAGCATACTGTGTTTGAACTGCAACACCCAAAGCAAAATGCTCAGGACCCTCTGCAGCTCAGTATTAGCAATCAAGACATCCCCCCCAAGCCCCCTCTGACGCTGGTTTATCTCTTTGGACTTGGCAATTCATTTCTGGAAGGAAGAGTTAAAAGACTCTGCGATAGAGCTTGAATTGCTCCAGGCTCTGGCGGCTGCCTCAGATGCAGGGCACCTCACAGGGGACAGCCATTGCACCAGGTCCCGGTGGGGTCTCGGGAGAAGAAGCGAGATTTGCAAGCACATGAGGCACAGCAGGCAGGAGATCCAGTAAATGGACGCATTTTTGAAGGGGTCAGCTTCTGTTCTACACCCCAAAGTGAAGCAGCAGCATTTTCTAGGAAGTTTCTTCACACAGAGGAAAAGCTCATTCTTTCTCATGAGAGCTGCTGGTGAAAGAGCCCTTTTTTGCCATTTCAGAGATACCTGATGCCTGCTGAGCCCATCTAAAAACCTGACTGGGCTACACGCTCTATTTGGGGGAAATCTGCCCCCCAAACCCAAATATAACTCCTAAATCACTGCTTCATGGCAGTAACTTTGCAGGGGATCTGGGCTATTTATTTTGGTATTGAAACTATGAGCAGGACTGTTTCAGCTTTCTGCATTTTAATTCCCTGTGAAACATATCGGGAATTTAAGTGAACAGACATAAAGAGCATAATGTGAGAGACCATGTGTTACTTTCAGAAATTAGGGAACTGGCAAGAACAAAGCCTTTAATTGTTAGAGACATATGTCTACAGAACAGATCTAAAGTATAAAATTACCACAGAAAAAGTAGGAAATGGTAGTAAAACTAAGATAGGAAGTTCCCCTGCTTGCATCCTATGAAAGCAACAGATCAACCACCTTGACTTGGTAACAGATTTACTGTTCTACATGTTGTGCTTTCATCCTTGCCAAAATAAAAGGGAAACCATAAACTCGTCATAAACAGACTCAGCAACACATTTCCTTTCGCACAGCTGCTAATGCACACAGACAACTTTCTTTGGTGTTTACTGAACGCAAGTTCTATCCGTTTAAGAGAAACTCATCAATCAGAAGCAAAAATTGCTGTGATTTTTGAAGAATGATTTATGAGTTCAAGCCGGTTTTACAGCCAAGGTATTTAGGACGTTTTGTACATTAATTACTCAGAATCTGCCGTGAGGTGGGTTATTGTCCACATACACTAATGGCTTTCAGGCTTTAATCTCTCATCAGTGGACCTCCTTTTGTGAAATCCCTAAAGGATTATGTAGTACTATGTCTAATCACTTGACAAATTTCATTTACTTGAAACTGAAGCTAGGTTTGAGTTATACAAAGACCGTAGGAGGAATCAGATTCAAAGTAGGAAAACAAAATGTGGTACTGGACAGTACCAAAATTTATCATTACATTCACATCCAAACTGTTCAACACTAAATTAAACAACCCTATTTGGGGAAATGTCTAGTTGTGTATCAGTTGTATATGCCTGTAAGATACTCAGACTGCTTTAACAGATACACAACAGGTTTGAAAGTATATTATGACGCATGTAAAAAAAGCTGTGGACATTCTCATAATTTTGTTACTGCTGCGTCTTGGACAAAAAAATATTGCTACGGTTTGTACAGCAGTCTGCAACACTGAAGAGGGACATTGATTTGGCACAAGTTACATGATGCAAAATCAAAACCTAGTCCTTTGCTAGTTGAATTTACCCTCTGAAGTTCAACACTTCAGACCAAATAAATCACCTGTAAGGCTGAGGTGGATGAAGCACCTCTCCTCCTGCACCGCAGAACCGCTACCCTGGAATTGTTCTCTCCATTAAGCAGCAATGCCCGGTGATTAACGCATCCTGAAACCTAATGGTGTGAAACTCACTGCATCATTCCCCGTTATCATAGTACAGGCAGATCTCCACAGAAACAAAATTTCCCAGACAACACCACGGAAAAGGAATTTAAAATTAGAGCAGCATTTGTCACCAAGCTAACAACACAAAGGTTGTGTGATACGACAATTTATTGTATGTTTTAATAACCTAGGTCTCCCACACTGCTTTGCAAAGCCTCGCTGCACGGCTAGTCTCAACGAAGACACCAGATTACGGCTCTGAAAACAACATGCAGACACACAGGCACACGCTACCTCTGGAAACCAAATCCACCAAAACCTGTCAAAGACCCGGCAACAAGAAGACATCGTTTCTGGTAGGGTTAGGACAGATTCAGAGCGAATACAGACGCAGACAGAGAGATTGCTGCTCTATTAATGTGTTGTCAAGCCATGCAGGAAAGGACGGCTGAGAGCCCGAAGATGCAGTAACGATTGTTTAAGAGCTATTCGAAAAAGTGACAAAACTGGCCTAAACCTCTTAAAGCCCCCTGAATGAAAAGCTTTAAACAGGCTATTGTTAGACCCCTGGGTACCTTTTTTCTCTTGGCTTTGTTCTGCATTTTCCTCCGCTGCAGTTTCCATGGCTGGCTTCATACCATCCACCAAAAATGCCGCCCCCCCCTCCCCCCCCGGCAAGCACTTTTTCTCTTCGCCTCCTTTCTCACTCCCTTCCGTCTCCTATTTACGGCGGCAGTGATTGAGCGG